AAGAATATATTTCTATTAGGATTTTACTGAAAAATGCTGATCGATTTTGTTTATATAAGAATATATTTCTATTAGGATTTTACTGAAAAATGCTGATCAAAGACACAAAAATATTAATTTTCAGTTTACAAGGACACTGCAGCTTTGGAAGTCACCAACATTTATGATAATAATAACTATTGTAATAATAAATGCATACAGCGCATACTCATGCTCAACAGCGTGCTCTACCATAACTCTATCGACAAAAGTTAATTAAATCAGTTCTGAGGCAGGCTGTTTTCACTCTTTCCGCAACACGCGCCGTGTGGGATACTTCTCAGCAGGAAGATCGAGATACTGGATGTAGTAGTTCCAGAAACCATTGCGTGCAAGGCGAGGAATGATTATTGTGATTGCTAATGTTTTACTCCCCTATCGACATCATTCAGACCATTTTGGAGGTGTACTTATTCGACCCTGCTGTCAAGGTCAACATGAGGTTGAGAGGATTACATCGTCCCAACAGAGAGACGGACATACTGGACAAATATCTTCCTCAATCAGGAATCGACCCCACGTCTTCTGCGTGCGAACGCAAAGAACATTATCGACACAGAACACATACCAGCTCAGATGTGGAACAAGAACAGACGTTAACAGATGAATCAGGGATAACGTATATTCTTTGGGTTTGACTAACAAAATGCAAAATCTTAAAAAATTTCATGAATAGCAATAAAAGTCATCTTTAATAATCACTGTTTTATAATAGAAAATCAGCAAACTCAAAACAAAATAGCTAAGGCAAGATGGAAAAGGTAAACTTGATAGTATTGAAGCTCAGCCATAGAACAGGCAACTGATTGTACATTAGATTTTGAAAAAGACAAAGGATGATATTCGTTTACAAGCATGCGTGGATAGAGGCACACATGCGAACATACATGCACAAACAAACATACCAGCACATGCTGGAACACATATTTTTTAAGACCTTCAAATTCACATGGAACCCACACACACACACACACACACACACACACACACACACACACACACACACACATACCCCCACACACACACTCACATACATACACACATGTACCCACACAAACACTAATGCACACATTAACACAGTTTAGTCGAGCTTTGATAAGGAAACAGATCTATAAGAGTTGTTGTTGTTGTTGTTGTTATCGATCCAGCAACAGCTGGGCTCTTGCCCTTCTGTCCAACGCCATGTAGTGATAAGTGCAGGTCTGCTGCAGTTGCTGTAATGTTCCATAGAGTGTGTTGTCTATGTTAGGTCTCAGAGGGAGAAAGGTAGCTCTGATGTCATTTAGGGCTGTGCAGTGGAACAGGTGATCTATAAGAGATCAACGACAATAAGTAAGTGTGCATACATGTAGGTGTTCAAGAGTTTGATTTCTTGGACTACTAATAATCTATTCTCTCTCTCTCTCTCTCTCTCTCTCTCTCTCTCTCTCTCTCTCTCTCTCTCCCTCTCTCTCTCTTTCTCTCTCTCTCTTTCTTTCTCTTTCTCTTTCTCCCTCTCTCTTGCTCTCTTTTGTTCTCTCTCTATCACTCTCTATTGTGCTCTCTCTCTCGCTCTCTCTCTCTTTCTCTCTGTCTCTGTCTCTGTCTCTCTCTCTCTCTCTCTCTCTCTCTCTCTCTCTCTCTCTCTTTGTGTGTGTATGTGTGTCTCTCTATCCGTCTGTCCATCTCTCTCTCTTTCTATCTCTTTCTTCCCCGCCGACAGGGGCACTGAACACGGTTTGTCAATTTTAATTGTTGTAGACAAATTTTGATAACTAGAAAAGTTTAAGAATTTAATAAAATGCCATATCCATGCTGGTTTCAAATGCATTTGGTTTCAATTTGTGAATGTTTCATAACGACTGGCGAAACAAATAGCAGATCATATGATATATATATATATATATATATATATATTAATTCACTTTGTTGACGTTACTTGCTAAGATTGCATGTTGACAGAAACCCTTTAAGCCCCCCCCCCCTTTCTTTTCCCCTTTGGCAACGTTCGTCTCGTATTATTGTTTTAAAGATGAATTCCCGAAGCAAATTTCCACCCCATAAGAGAATTAAGAGGTTGCACAATGGAAGAGCTCCTCAGGCATTGTACAAAGCTGCCCCATCTGAATGCCCTTAAAAAGTGCTCAATGTCATGTAATATTGTTCAAAATGTTTTTCAGCCGAAGGAAGAGTGATATTCTTTCTAGAAAATCCTGATTAAATGGGCCAGTGTTGTACATTCCTGCAACAATTTGGCGAGATAGCTTTTGACCCGTACCGTATAAAATCTGAAAAATAAGGATATAAAGACTACGTCATGTGACCTTTTCGAACTGTTTGACCTACATGTAGAGCACAAAATCTGGGCCACTGTGGGGGTCTCAGTAGGGATTTAGCTATGTTTTTACGTTAACAAAGGGGCATCCTGGGGTGGCGATGGAAGTATGGTCTTGTTTTAATTTCCTTACAACTGTTTGGTTAGGTTGTCTAGTCTGAATGAGTCTGACTTATCCAAATCACTCTCTCCTTTGTCTCCAAGAGCGATTTGTTTAACACTTCTCTTGCCAAGATTGCCTAAAGTGGACTTACTTTCTTCCACAAGTTCAGTCACAAGAACAAGATCACTCTCTTTTAGTTTTAACACTTCTCTCTCGAACAAAAGAAATCAACATTTCGACGTTTTCCCACTTACTTAGTGCTTCCATGCTGCTTCGTTCCTTTGAAGTAGATCTGGCGGGAAATGAGCCCCGCCCACTTCACGAAGAATTCGGGTGCCGAAGTAAAAAGTTTCGCTCCCTCGTGCGAAACAAAATCTTCGCATGCGAATTTCGGACTCGGCCAAGTGAAATACCGGTATATGGATTTACACAATGACCAAAAGGTTGGTGCGAAAAAATAGTCCGCACGCGAAACTCGCACCCGAAATTCGCATCGGTTTTTCGGGTATATGGAATGTCAGCTTAAGTGACATATTATGCTGTAGTGTCAGTTTTAGGCCGGTCCCAGAGTGGCTCTGTAGGTCTGACCTGTAGCTCGCCTGGCGCACGCCGTGTGCGTGTCAGTACAGCCGCACTGTGGGTTGGCGCCTGTGTCTCAGCGAGCGCGAGGCACACTCGCTGCGTCTCAGCACAGTTGCACTGTGTGTTGACGTGTGTAGGTGTGCAACTGACGGGTCTGCCTTGCTATATTTAGGTACTGTGTGCCAAGTGCACCCCCCCCCCCCACACACATATTGTCTAAAATCTAGAGAAGCACACCTAGGTCTAGACCTAGGCCTAGACCTACGACAACAATCGAAACTAGGTCAACCTCTCGATTCGAAGTTTCAAAGTATGATAAAGTGCATTTCTGGGTGATTTTGTGGCCAAGTGTTGATGCTAGCATCAATATTTAGTAGTAAAGCACCTAATAATACTTACTTCTTGTTGGTTTTTGATGATCTGTGAAGAGTTTCAGTCGAAAATAAACACGAAGCGAGGCCACACATGTCCGCCTTTTTTACAACACTGTTGAATAACACGACTGACGCATCGCGCAGCTCAGCTGACAAAAAAACAGACGACACAGCGATCCTGCTTTAGCACACGATAATGTGTACATTAATTTGCACGGTGCGAGCCAGGCGAGCTACAGGTCAGACCTACAGAGTCACTCTGGTCGCATGTCCACCAAAGCAGAAACTACACACATTTCGGGAGAAGGCAATTCAGTCTGTGTTCGGCGTGTGAGTAGCTCTGACGGCTTTGTGTCATTTCTCGTTATCGGGGTATAAATAGTCATGAGGTCAATGAACGCAAGGCAGGAATAAGAAAGAATGGTTCTTTTTTTAAGTTAGCAAAATTGTTGATATTCATTCAAATCAAGTGGCTTGCTCGTAATGTTTGCTAATTTTCAGGCCCTGAATACGAATAATACCAGATTTTTCATCCGAATTGATGATTGGAATTTTATTTTAGCTCTGGCTGGGCCTATAGCTAATGAGTCACCAGACCGCTCGACCTAAATGCTGCAAGGGGCGTTCCAACCCGCCCGTCTTTTGTTACGAGGTGTCGAGTCGTTTTGATGGACACATCCAAACAGACTTTTAAAGGATTGCTAAGGTAAAAACTCCATCCAACCCCAACATGCAATATCAAAATCAATGATTCCACCCTCAAGCAAGTACAACATTTAAAATATTTGGGGACCATTGTATCATCAGATAGGAGATGTCTCACCGAAATTAAAAGCCGCATTTGCCAAGCAAAAGCAACCTTCCACAAAATGAAGCAGATACTAACAAACATCAATATGTCACTGGAAACGAGAAAAAGAGTGCTGAAATGTTACATCGAGCCAATCCAATTATACGGGTGCGAAGCATGGACAATCAATAAACAGCTAGAAAGAACAATTGTGGCGACAGAGTTGAGGTTCATAAGACGCATGCTTCGTATACCATGGACAGCTAGAAAAACAAATGAAGAAATCTTGATTGAAGCAAATTATAGAAGACAGCTTATGACGAATATAAGAAAGCGACTGGCAAATTTCTTCGGATACACAACTACGGACAGAAGCATTGGAGAATATTGTAACAACAGGCAAGTTTGGTCGAAAGAGAGGCAGAGGCAGACAGAGGGAAAAGATAC